ACTCACACTAAGGCTGTTTCTGCTGAAGGCTTCCTACTTTTAAAAGAGAGATGTTTCTCTCCACTGTTGGTGCATGCATGCTTGGTGCCAGGGATTGCAGTCGAGTCAGTGGCTCAATCCAATCAGCCGATTTTCCTTACCGGTACATAGAATACCAATCTGACTGCATTTACTCTGCAAATACAATAAAGTCAGATGTGCCTTGAGATGACATGGTTTGTCAATGGGCAGAGTATAAATACATTGAATTTAATTCAGTTCAATTCAATTTAAAGATACTTTAAGATTATTTAATGGGAAGTTATTTTAAAACAGATTTTTCTTTGTAAAATCATCTTATTTTTTCAAAGAACAGAGCTTAATGATCTTTTTTTAAATTTTTTTTTAACAATTTGCTCTAATGCCGCTACCACAACAGATGATGGCAGAAAAGGTCACTCCATTAAAAAAAATTATAGAGGATATCCTGCATCTTGCTGCAAACCCTCCTGAACCGAGACTTCTTTAAGGAGAGTACAGTCTGTTTGTTCCATTCTTGTAGACGACTTCACAGTTGTGTCTCCAGTCTTGTCTATAATCCAGATGAACACAGACATTTATACTCCTCAACCACCTCCACTCTTTTCACATGACAGTGTTTATTCAAATTCATGTATTTTTGTTTGTGTTCCCAAATACAGAATCTTTTTTGTGAGAAATGATTAAATGCAATCTGTCCAAAGCTGAAAAAATAGTCATAGATTTCTGATCTTTCTCTATAAACTGTGAATACTATACTGTTACATTGTTATATTATCTTTTTAACTGTTTGGCACTGTGGATCATTAACTATTTGAGCATTTTCTGTGCTGCATGATGTAACCGTTTGAACATGTAACAGAACTATTCTTTTGCCCCAAGAAGGTCGTCGGTTCAAATTCCAGCAGAAGGCCCCTGGTGCACCATTTACATCATCTCCCCCTCGTGGGCTCGGGTGATCTGGCATCCTCCCATAGTCGAATAAAATGCATGTTTGGCTTGATGGTCCTGTGATGGTCTCAGACAATTAAGTTGCTACAGCAGATGGATGGATAGATCGCTTTCATGCATGCACACTGTGAGGGTAGGCATTAAAAATATCCACCATGTATTTCAAGGAGGAATACAAACAATGCAGAAATGCAGCACTCCTTATCTTGAAGTCGTTATACATAATCCCCTGTTCAAAGGCCAGCCAGTCACCAGCCTTCAGCACAACTTGTTCCACAGTGAAACTTCAGGAGCTAATAAGCAAATGACTCAAAATTTCTGAAGTGCAAACAATCAAGGTCAGCTGTAGGTTCTTTAATACCAGCAACGGAATAGTCGCCACCTGCTGGTCGAAGTCTGCGAGGGTTACCTATACTACTAATCAACTGATTAATAAACCCAAGCACATCCAGAAATCTGATAAAACTCAAAACACTTTAGAGTCACTACAGAGTCCCTGAAGTACAGTAGGCCTGGCCTCGTGGGCCGACTTTGGGCAGGCCTCACAGAGTATTTGTGTTTCTTCAAAAGGAGTTACCGGACCTAATTGTGTCATATTCTGGGCTGGAATTCAAGTACTTCTAGTACTTCTTCTAGCTTCAGAACATCATTTACTGTAAATCAAATAGGAGGTCCACCAGTCTGTTTCAGTGCAAGGTGCACTTGGAACTATCTGGTACAAAAGAAAGAGCTTATTTTTATTAGTTAAATTTTCCTTTAGGGGCACCCTATACTACTCTTCTTTTATTAACCCTTTATGAGCTGGGCCTAAACATTTAATGCTTATTTTAAATATGATATACTGGCAAACACATAAGTACAAATGTTTAATATTTACCTACTCTTTTACAAAATGTTCAAACATTTAAGAACATATCAAAAATAATATTACTGACATCCTCAGAATCAATGTCTTCACAAGCAGTTGTTGTTTCTTTAACTGTTTAATTTCATTTGTTCCAAGCTATAATAAGGTTAAAGTAAGCACCACAGTATTTATTAACTCTTGGGAAATTTATAAATTATAAATGTTGAATTTTTGGTTGAAAAATCTAGGTATGTGACATTGGCTTAATAGAGTTTCTGTTATCTTTAGTGTGTACATACCTAGTGAGGGTGAATATAAGTTAATAATTACACATGCTGTAATTAAATCCAACCTGAGTGAACCAGAAGTTTTGCAGAGAACACTCTGCAACCCAAACAGGTTCCTGCTGCATTTACATCCAGCTGACTGTGAGAGCCAGGTGAAATGTCTGCACGGATTTCCTCCTCACTGCTCAGGGTTTGCCCTTACAGTTTCAGATGCTTAGATGTCTTAAAAAGCTGCAGGGCATGGAAACCAGGAGGGGACGTTTTTATTCGGTAAGTCACTCTTTTTTTTTTCAAATAACACATTTTTTTATAGATGCATTTTGTTTGTAACAATGGAACAGAAAATTGAGGGCTGTTGAAGTTCTTTGTAGAATGTAAAGTATGTGTAAAACATTTAAAGTAGAGTATTTCTAAAGCAAAAATTATGATTTACAAAGAAATCAAAACTAGAATTTAGTGTAGATAGGAAATGATAAATCAGTTACCTGGTAAATTCCAATTTTTTTTTCTTATACATCTTAGAATATCTAACTCTAAACTGATTTGTGAACCTTTTCTTTGACAGGTCTCTCCATGTAGACAGTCCTCCTCAAAAACCATCCCTGACCACCAGCTACGTCCATGGCACCTCTTCCTATTCACTGCTTCCCTTGACTGTAAGCCAGAGCCTAGAGGCAACAGCGGAACGCTTTCCTGATCGTGAAGCTGTGGTCTTTCTACAGGATGGCATCAGGAAAACCTTTGCTGAATTTCAAAAAGATGTATGTTTCAGAGTTGGTCAATTGAGAAAAGTTTTGATAATCCTGCATATATTAAGTTACTTTCTGCACCTTTTTTTTGTGCAAGGTGGAGACGGCTGCTGCGGGCTTGCTTGCACTGGGCTTGGAGAAAGGCGATCGACTTGGGGTTTGGGGTCCAAACATATATGAATGGATCCTTTTCCAGTTTGCTTCAGCTAAGGCTGGAATTATCTTGGTCAGTGCAGAAACTATCCATATTTACAAGTCAGATGGACATTGAACCTGTCAGAGCCTTAGGGGAAAGCTGTGCTTCTGCATGTTTACCAGGTTATCGTTTTCCACATATTATATTTTCTCTTTAAGCATAACTTCATACAGATAGACTGAAGCAATTTCTAGAACTTTACAAACTCATAATGGCTGGTAACAGGTTTAGTTCTTCGGGTTTTAAAAATGAATGAGCACATGCATTCAATTATTTCAAACATTTTATGTCGATTTTCTCCAATCAACACAGGGTCAAAAATCTATATACAATTATATTGGGTAGATAAATGTATTTTTCAACTGCTCATAAGCATAGGATAATTTTGGGAGTTTTTAAAAAAATTGTCAGATTTTAGGTTCTTTAAGCAATTTTAATTAAGAAAATAATTATAATATATATATATATATATATATATATATATATATATATACGGAACTTAAGTGAAAACATTTTAAAATTCCTGTAGGTGACAATAAATCATTTTAAATTTTAATTATCATCTTTTCCAAATTGTGGTTTTGAAATAACCAAAAAGTTATATTTATTTATGATTTCTTTTTTTATGTAATCTTTTTTCTGCTGAGGTAAAATGACTCAACAGAATGTAACAGTGTCCTTTTTTCCCCAGGAATAAATATTTCAGCACACTCCGAGTCCTTGATATCCGCTCCCAGCCAGTTCTTATCAGCTATATTTAGAACACTATCTCTCAGAAAAAGTAAACACAGGGTTTAAAAAAAAAATAAAAATGCAAGCGTATTTGTGTATTTTTCTAGGAAGCATCTAGGTTGGATATGACGAACATTGGCTTCTGTGAGCCTCTGAGATGTGAGCCAGCAAAGAAGAAGTGTGATGAAAAGGAGAAAGACGAGTTGTGCAGAAGACCAGGAGAGATTAGCAAAACCAATGTTAAACATTTATTTGCATTTATGTTGATTGTTTGTTGGGTTCCTTGCAATTTTAAGTTCCAAGAGAGGACCAGCCAAAGTGATAACATCAGAAACTCTGGACCTAAATTATGTTTTCTGAAGGGAGACTTAACTAAGGTCTTTATCAGAAAAACTGAATATTTAATCACATTTAATTTGAGAAGTGGTTATATCATGTCTATAAATAGATGCAGTGTAATTAATTCCAAATTAAGCGGTAAAAGTTGGATTCAGATACATTTTCGTGGTAAATATCTCCTACTTCTTCCATGCTGTTTCCTTCATTTTTCTTTTAATAATGTGAGTAATACTAATATCTATATGAAAATATTCTCAGATATTGCGCATGTTTAGTTTCCTGTCACAGGCATACCTTGAAAGAAAAATCATTATATTCGGTATGTATTTGGGGACTGCTTCCAAAACCTTAAACTTAGATTCAGTGTTTGGAGGAACATTTTGCAATAGTCTGTCATTTAGGTCAAGTAGTTTAATCTTTGTCAGGACATAAGAGTTGTTTTTTTTCCCCAGAGGTCATTTGGTCCGCTGCTAATTCAGTTTAGCGTTTAGAGCAGAGGCTTCCTTCTTTGTCAGGATCATCTCAGGTCACAGTGATGAGAATCTGTCTTTAGAAGTTGACAGTTTCTGGTCCATGGCAGGTCTAACCTTTGGTGCTTTCTGGACTGTTCTTGATAATTTTTCCCACCATTCTGCTTGAAATATTTGACATTTGGACAATGCTTCATATTCCAAAAGAAAAATAAAGCCAAACAGACAACAAAACAGTTATTTTCAGGAATAAACCTTAATACTTATAGTGCCTTTGACTATTATTAACTGGAAGCTGGACCACTTAAAATGAATTTCACATATAAGTGGTTGAATATTCAGCCAAAAATATGCCAGAAACTGTCTATAGGCTACGAGAATCATCATTGAGGACATGCAAAAATATTTGAGGCCATATTATTTTGACTCTTAAAAAAGGCAAATTCAAACTTTTGCTCCTAATTCCTGTTTTTAAATTGCATCAGTTGTTTGTTGTAGATCATTCCAACTCAGGGAGCCTTGTTTCTGTACCTACAGGTGTCACTGAATCCAGCCTATCAGGTGGACGAAGTGGAGTTTACACTGCAAAAGGTAGCTATAATTAAATACACAAAACATCTTAAGAAATGCCCTTTGAAACAGATATATATATTTTATGTGATGTAACAGTCTAGATTAACTGTGCATAGGTCCAGTGCAAAGCAGTGCTGTGTCCAACCAGCTTTAAAAGTCAGAACTTCTGTGAGATGCTGCGAAAGATTTGCCCAGGAATCGATTCTATGCCACCTGGAATGATCAAAACCTCCAGGTTTGACAGCATCTATTTCCGTAATGTCCTCTGTTGTTAGTATTTAAGGATAATTGGACCTCAACGCAGCAGTATTCAACCCAACCGCTCCCCATGCTGGCCAAAAAACTATAAAGTTTAAGTACAATAGATTTTACTTTTTTTAATATTATTTTTGTATCGGAATTGTTACAAAAAATCCTAATTTGTAGATGCTTACAGTGAGAAAAATAAGTATTAGAACAACCTGCTATTTTGCAAGTTCTCTTAGAAATCGATTGCAGTTTCAATTGTCATCATAGGTTCATGTCCACCGTGCGAAAAAATGAAAAATCCAGAAATCACAATTAACAAATATTTGTATGATACAGCTGCAAATAAGTATTTGAACACCTGTCTAACAGCCAGAATTATGACCCTCAAAGACTTGTTAGTCTGCCTTCACAATGTCCACCTCCACTTCATTTCTTATCCTAAATTAGATGCACCTGTTTGGTCTTTTGCTGCATAAAGATACTAAACATGACTGTCAATCTCCCTTGGACTGGGGCTCCATGCAAGATCTCAACTCGTGGGTCTCAATGATCCTAAGAAATGTGAGAAATCAGCCCAGAACTACATGGGAGGAGCTGCTCAATGACCTGAAAAGAGCTGGGACCACCGTTTCCATGGTTACTGTTGGTTATACATGAAGACATCATGGTTTGAAATCATGCGTGGCACGGAAGGTTCCCCTGCTTTGATCAGCACATGTCAGGGCGCTTTTTAAATTTGCCAGTGACCATTTGGATGATCCAGAGGAGTCATGGTAGAAAGTCATGATGTCAGATAAGACCAAAATAGAACTTTTTGATCATAATTCCACTAACTGTGTTTGGAGGAAGAATTATGATGAGTACCATCCCTACTGTGAAGCATGGGGGTGGTAACATCATGCTTTGGGGGTGTTTTTCTGCCCATGTGACAGGGTGACTGCACTGTATTAAGGACGGGATGATCGGGGCGATGTGTTGCAAGATTTTGGAGAACAACCTCCTTCCCTCAGTTAGAGCATTGAAGATGGGTAAACGCTGAAAGAACCAGGGCTTCAACCGACAGCCCTCCAGATGCAGGGCAAACTCCTTCATCCATCCACTGTCGGCCCAAAAACATTAACAATTTACTAAAAACACAATATTTTGATAAAATCAAATGTTTGTATTAATTCAGAGAAATCAACCAATCTTTGTTGAACTGAAGCATAAAAAGTGTCGGGCATAAGTTATTTATTTAGCTAGAAAAATTTTTGTCTTTGTAAAGCAATAAGGTCACTTATCTGATTTACTGCATGTTTGTGATTCTATTTACTATGAAATTCAAGTGGTAAATAGAATAAATGTGCTGATTTCAGTTTGTCAGGGAAAACTAAACCAAAGACAACAAAGCAAGCAAAAAACTAATTTGCGGTTGGAGGCATTCAACCATTTCAGTGATCTACTTGTTGGACTCCTATGTTTTCAAATTACTTAAACCCTTTAACTCAGTCAGTTCTGTTGGAGGCTCAGGGATTCTGTTTTGGATCCTGCAGGGTGCCAGAGTTGCGTATGGTCATTGTGACCGACAGCAGACAGCCGGGGATGTTTCATGTGGAGGATGTGATGCAAGCAGGGGAGAGTCAGCACTACAAGCAGCTGATGGACCTGCAGAGCAAGCTGTCCCCTGATGATGCCATCAACATCCAGTTCACCTCAGTAATCTTCATTATAGGCCCTTTTTTTTTGGCACTGTAACGATAGTTTCCTGACATATTGATTAAGATGTTTTTTTTTTCTTTTTAACCGGCACTAGGGTACCACTGGGAAACCAAAGGGAACCACTCTTTCCCACCACAACATAGTCAATAATGGATATTTCATTGGTCTGCGTATGGGCTATCACAGCAGAGTAAGTCCAAGTTGTCTATCAGATAGTTGGAACATCCCAATAACTTGATTTAAAAATTGGTGTATTTATGTTTCACTATCAGCCTCAGGTTCGAGCGTGTCTTCCTGTGCCTTTGTACCATTGCTTCGGCTCTGTGATTGGTGGGATGGCCATGGCACTTCATGGCATCACCCTTGTGTTCCCTTCTACAGCTTACAACAGTTCTGCCAATTTAGAGGCTATCCAAAAAGAAAAGTATGTTCCCCAAAGTCCTTATGGCATTCCAGAACAAGAGCTTCTTTTTTATGTCCGTTTGTCTCGTTCCTTCAAAAAGGTGCAATTTTGTCTATGGCACTCCAACTATGTACGCTGACTTGCTTGGTCAGGATTTACACAAGTATAACTTGTCATCGATTGAAGCCGGTAAGATATCTAAAGTCAAGATCAACGTGTTTTGTTGAATTTGGTGAGAACTACTTTCTTCGCTTTAGGGCTCATAGGAGGTTCTCCATGCCCTCCTGAGATCCTGAGGAAGCTAATAACACAAATGAACATGAAAGAGATAACGGTGATTATCAAATATTTAGTGTAGAACCCATTTAAAGAGCCTCTGAGCCTAAATTAATTTTTCACAGGTCGTGTATGGAACCACTGAAAACAGCCCTCTTACCTTCCTTGGATTTCCAGAAGACAACGATGACCTGAAGATGAACACAGTGGGGTGCATCATGGCTCACACTGAGGTATGAGTTTTTGAGTATCTGTGAAATTCCAGTTCTCACCTATTCCTTTAGAAGATTGAGAGGAATTACTGCTTAGACACCTCACCAGCCTGCCACAAGGCAATTGAGACAACGAACCATATTAATAGTCACCATGGGGGACACTTTATGGATTCCAATTACCCCAATATGCATGTTTTGGGGAACGGGAAGTTAGTGGAAAAACCTTCATGATATTTTTGGTAAAAAAAAATAAAAAAAAACCCACCTCCACCGCTTTGCAACTGGTCTTATACTTTACTAAAATCTTTATCTCTTTGTGACTCTATGCAGGGGCGGAGCTAGATGGGGGGCCAAGGGTGGCCATGGCGACCCTTAGCCAATCATTGGCCACCCCTGTGGTCACCCTATGTTTATTTCCCTCTAATACAGATGGTGGCAGTAATAATCTCAAGTGGAATATTGAAAACATTTTAATTTTTCATATATTAACAGTTACTTGACAACAAAAACACTGGTTAATTATGCACATCAATACACTAACATTAAAGATGATAAATACAGAATTCAAGCAGAAATAGATTTTGCGTTTTATGGGGTAAAGAAGAGTCTTCAGTGAAATCATAAATACCTATTTTAATAAAAACTTATTAAATAATCAATTTATGTAGATATTTGTACTTGTAAATATCCATTTTATGCAGAATGATTACTGATAAAAGTAGGTCAGTAATGACAATGGAAAAGATGTTTGCCCAAAACTCAAACCTGAAAGAATTGTATCCACTATACCTTTTATTTAGAAAGCATGGATGTTTGAATATATTTGTCTATGTGTTAGCAAAGGCTGTGGCAAAATATAGTTTGTCTTTATTTAGAAAATATGAATGTTTTGCTCATTAAAATCTGTGTTGGAAGAGTGTAGATTGACCCTGAGGTTGGAGTGCCCATCTACTTTCGGCCATCCCTCACTCTACATTAGCTATTGCCTGGCCACCCTTATAACAATTTCCTGGCTACACCTCTGCTCTAAAATGCTTTAATGTGTGTCTCAAGGCAAAAATAGTGGACCCCAACACAGGCCAGATGGTCCCGCTCGGTGCTTCAGGAGAGCTCATGATCAGAGGGTACTGTGTGATGCTGGGGTACTGGGATGAACCTCTGAAAACCAGAGAGGTTATATCTGAGGATCGCTGGTATAGAACTGGGTACGATTCACTTCTAAGATAAGAGATGTTTTGTTTTTAAAGTTGCTTCTGAGTTTAGTGAGATCGGATTTCTTTCCAGTGACACGGCCAGCCTCAACAGTCTGGGATACTGCCGCATCGAGGGACGCATTAAGGACATGATCATCCGCGGAGGGGAAAACATTTACCCTGCTGAGATTGAGCAATTTCTCCACAAGCATCCAAAAGTTCTGGAGGTGCAGGTGAGATAGAAATCAGCAGGAGGGTGTACTTTTTGTTTAATTTCTAATAAAAATATATATAATTTTTCTTCTTAGGATTTAGGTGGGCTGCTTGTACAAAAATATGAATATTCTTTTATCCTTACAAACGGCTACAGATGAATTTATTTAATGCTTTGCTTCCCAGGTTGTGGGGGTAAAAGATGAGAGGCTGGGTGAGCAGGTGTGTGCCTGCATAAGGCTCAGGCCGGATCAAACCGCAACTGCAGAGGAGATAAAAAACTTCTGCAAAGGCAAAGTAGGAACACATAATGAACATTCAGTTTCTTGCAAAACAGAAAAGCATATTTTGATTTAGAAAAAAAAGCGCCCAATTATGCATGTTTTTTCCTTCTCTTCAGATGTCCCACTTTAAGATTCCACATTATGTGATCTTTGTAGACAGCTACCCTCTAACTGTCTCTGGGAAGGTAGGATGGTAGTTTTATCGCCAGCATTTAAAAGATGCATCTGCTATACATTCATGCTTGATTACTAAAGTACAATTTCTCTGTTTCTCCAGATCAAGAAGAACGTATTAAGGGAGGAAATGGAGAAGAAATTAGGTCTTTGATTTTCTATTTCAAGGTCTTACAGGACGCAATTTTAGAGTATTAAGTAAAACCTGTAATGAAACTAGGTATCTGAATAATTTATGCCTTATTTTGTTAAGTGATGTTTGTACTTTGATGCTGCCTGCTGTTATTGACCTGAGGAACAATGTTTAGTTTAACAAGCAATGGCAGCTAAATAATTCAGTTTTCATTTTAATTGTTCCAAAGGATTTTTAAACGTAACGACTGTAAAACCTTCAATAAAGAGTTTACCTCATCGTAAAAATGCATCAGTTTTCTATTAAACATCTGTCAAGTATCAAAAGTATTAAAAGTTACAGTTTCAAAAACACTTTAAGTCGTTTCTTTAAACAATTTACTGTTTCATTCAGTAAGACCAAAGCAACATTTTAAGTATTTCAATCTTTATTTACTTTAACAATCCTTTCAATTTAACATTACAATGGCTTTAACCACCATATGATAATAAAACTCGTTATCTCAACACATGCAATACAGAATCTGAAATAAATAGGACTTTAATGCCAAATGTTTCTATGTACAGGTAAGTAAATTTCCACCATTTATAAACCCTTCTATACAAACTCGCTATAGAGATCACTTCAGTAATGGCCCCTCTTAGTGCCTAAAGTGAGATCTCATTAATAACATCTAACTTAAATGGTCTTCAGGCTAATGAGGTTTTAAAAATGTGAGCTGCATGAAGTAAAACTGATATAAATCAATAACAAAGCTGCCAAAAAAAAGATAGAAAAAAAAAGTTAATGCCAAATTAACAAAAAAGCAGCACTTATGCTGCAATGCAGAAAAGCTCACATGGTTCATGAAATTCAGACAAGTTTAGTAAAACTCAAAGTCAGAAAGGTTCTTTAACATCCAGTCTGGCTTTGAGAATCATGTACAGTGGGGGAGTGGTTTTAGGGCCAAATTCACATCCCCTAGATATCAGAAGAAAAGCAGAAGCACTGCTCCAAAAAACATAAATAAAAAAAGAAAAAGAAGGCAAAAAAAGAAAAAAAAAAAAAAGATGAGATGGGCAGCTTGTTCAAGAGCAGCGAGTGTTGAACAATCCTTCACCCGCTCAGAAAAATGGCAACAACTGTGCTACATGGCTTTGGACGATCAACATTCACTCAGGTCTGTTGTTTCAGCACAGAGTTCACCCAAACCTCTGCAACCGTATGCAAACATGCAAAAGAAAAAAAAAATAGAAAACAGGAATAATGCATTTCTGACCAAATGAGATAAATCAGCTGAAATAAGCATATCCCTTTATAAATATTACACATTCAAAATATAAATTAGTCTATTGTGCAATTCAAGAGAAAATAAAACAGATCAAAAAAGAAGCTGTGGTCTGCTGAGGGCCTTTTGTCGAGAGTCAGTTCATTTGGGCAGTCGAGTTAGTGCTGCAATACGAAAGTCGACATCTAGAGGGCGCAGCAAGTTCTGAGGAGCTCTGCTTTAGGCACATGCAAGGAAGTGGGAGGAACATATGAAGAAGTGGCCGTGTACACCTACACCCAGACGCACTGAGAGCTCTAACCTGGAGGGTACACCTGTCAAACAATCATCCAGGTAAACCATCTTTCACTCACACACACACCCACACATTGACACACACAGCAGCACAGATGTCCTGTCTTTTCCAATGGATGGAGGTCATAATTGCACATGGGTTCCTCACACACTTAAAGGCAGCATTCCTGGAGGAGCTATGGCTCTGGGTGGCGCCATGGAGCTAGGATCCAGTCCATTAACAGTGCTGCAGTTGATATAGGAAATGAAACATGTTAGCAGATATGGGGGGAAAAAAAAGAAAAACGAGAATTGTGCAAAACCAAATCTTCGAGTTGCTTACGTTGTTTCATAGTAGGTTGTGTGAATGGGGTGTGAGAACTTTGTAGCGTTGCTGTTGATGAGAGCGCCCGTGTCTGCGGAGTATTTTTTCCGTGCTGTCTGGTCTTTAGCTAAGTTCCTACAAGCTGCAAGTTTGGACTCCAAAGCCTAATAAGAAAACATATGCACAAAGTTAGCATTTAGCATGGAAAGACATTGTTTTGGACTCAAAGTTTCAAAGCTACATTCCCATAGCAGTGCTCTTTCTTCAGCTATTTAATGTATATCTGCAGTGGTTTCAACTGCGGATGCAAACATGCCTTTTAAGTCCTGCATGTATATTTTTCCTTCAGCACAACATCAGAACTAACCCCAAGACAATGTTTAATTTATCATTTAGTCTGGAGAAATCACATCAAAATATCTGTAAAACAACAAGTAATATTGTAGATAATTAAAAGTTGTATCCTTTTAACCAATTCATTTGCAGATAGAACGTACATTTATAATATCAATGCATGTAGTTTATACAAGCACACTGTACAAACTTTTGATTTCACCCAATGGCTGAAAGTGAGGATAAATTCTGCCTTGTGGGACTAACGGGGACACCCACTAGCTTTAACAGATGGTATTTTTTTCTTATACAGTGTGCAGCACAAAGAGCTTGGCTGTTTGGGATGCAAACTTATGTGTCCTGGTTGTAATATACACATTTAGGTTGTGGAGGCATAATGCCTTTTGTGTGCCAATGCCATTTCTGAGGCATATATACCTTTGTTTTCATTCAAAATTACGAGGTTAAGGAATTCACTTCAGCCCTTGGAAATACTTGTTTTCCCAAGAATTTCTAACCTTACACTGTCACACAAAAGGTTTTTTGTAGTTAACATTTGTAATAAAATAAACTACACCTACCCCAACTTTTCTCAGAAGGTCTCCAACTATATTAAGCGCTGAGATTCTTGCAGAAGGAGTGAGGGCGGAGCCACCGCAACCATTTGTAAGTCCTATAGTAAAAAGGCAAAATGAATACAAACATGTTCTTTTTTTATTATGTATGTAAAAATAAAGAGTGGGAATAACCTTTACCCTTTTGGCTGACGAGTGCATGCTCTATACTTTTTCCCACAGGTGTAGCAGGGAGGGATAAGGAGGCCTGTACTGCAGAGTCAGTCTTATCGAGGTCTGATGTTGGCGAGCTTGGTGCAGACATCCTGTCAGAAGTCCGCTCTCGAACTGCCAGTTCTTGTCTCAAGTCTGCAGAACATAAAAGTCTCACTCATCAGATACTCCATAAAAAAAATTACTATACATATATATCTTTTTAGATATAAAAAGGAGATTTCTTACCTCGAGCCTCATCTTTCAGCCTCTGAACCGAAACGAGGAGGGACTCCTTCTCGTCAAGCTCACTCTCAAGGAAAGCATTTCTCTCGATAGCCTGGTTTAAACGGCTCTCAAAGTCCTCTAGTGAAACTATCGTTGCCCTAGAATCAGAGATACAGTTGGTTTAATCTTTTATTTGGTAAAACCCATTAGCAGAGTACAGCATTTAAATGAGAACTGAATTGTCATTCTGACCTTTTCGCTCTCTCCAAGTCGTCATTGGCTTGTTCGAGTTCTCGTACATATTTGTGCAGCTGCTCCTTGATGCTGCGTGTCTGGCTGAGGTCATCCTCCAGCATGGAAATTTGCTTGTAACTCTGAGCGTACTGCTGCTCTAGCTTTTCCTGATGACATCGATAGAATAAAGAGGAGAAAACATCCTGTGAGTGAGCAAACGGAAAGGATCGGGAATGCAAAAAAATCACTGAAGCATGATGGATGAAAAACAATGTCATGCATTTAGTGAGGGTCACAAACAAGAGCAGAAAAAGTAATGAGAGTCACGAGACACCTAAGATGTTTTTTATGGTATCATTTCTCTGTAGAAAGGCCTCTTTGTTCCCAACAGAGGCCCAGTGACTCTGCTTCCTCAGCTAGATTATGTTAGTTAGAGGCATTGCTGCATGCCTTTACTCTGGCCCCTCACACACAAAGACAGGAAAGCATCATTCATATCTTCTTTGGTTCATTTACAGTGTTTGTTCTTAGAGTGAGGGGCTCACATGTTTGACCATGTGACTACCATGAAATGTTGAAGTTCTTATTGTGCACACATTAATCCAACGACAAAGATCTGAACTTAGTGTTCAGAGTCACTGTGGTTTATAACAAGACATGTCCTTCCTATTTTCTTCCACTTTATCCTGGCATCCAATTAAGCAGTACAGCAGGATTACCTAACATGCTTTATGACCTCTGTTCCAGAACACAGATCAGATGACTTCCTTAGTAAGCACACCTAACTGCTTTAGTGGCGTAACTATGGATGAACGGATGACAGGTCCTGTAAATGTCTGAACCTCTGATACCATTTTCAGATTCTGATTAATTTTTATTTAAAAAAAAACTTTCCATTATCCACATTAATTAAATCTGCAACTTCACAATTAAATGTTTTTACATGAAATAAAAACTCTCGCTGCATCACCAACTACCAAAATCAATCAAATCCGCATAAGACAGAAGCATGTGTGCAAATAAAAACATATCTTATTAAATCACTTACAGAAAACTTGTAGTAACACTACTAAAGCTTTTATTCAAAATGTATTAATGACAATTTAAAGGAATAAATCCTGAAATGATTTCAAGCCATGGATTCTTTAATTAACAAAAAATAAATTCATTTAATCTATCAATATGTGAGCGTTAACTAGCTAGTCAATTCTTTACAAAGACAGGTTTGGTGAACGATTTAATTGGACGATTCAAAATGATAGAAAAGAATCAGCTTTGCTGTAACATGTTCAAGTACTTTTCTGAAGCCTCGTTTCCTGTTTAAGAGTGAGGGCTAAAATAAAAAAGGCACGCCACTGAGTTTAAAAACAAACAACTCAGTCAAACATAAAATACTAAATTATTTTTTTTTCTGTAAGTAAAAAACTGCCACAGAGAAAAATGTTGTCAGTAGGTCTGCAGGGGATCAGGATATATTTAGATGCTGATATCAGTTGCCATATGCACCGGCTTTATTGTGCTTCCATAACTCTGACCTTCAGCATTTATTGCAACTTCTGTCTGAAGTGAGCTTCAGCTGCTGTCCAACTGGATAAATATAACATTACATCACAACATTACATCACTTGTCATTTATTATCTAACTGTTACTACACTGAATACAGTCCTTGGTGATATAAATATTACACACACTGGTATTGCGATAACGTTTACTTTTTGAATAGTGCAGCCATAGTCGTCCGCCCAGCCTGTTAGAGCTCAGCAACTGTGTCAGATTCCCCAGCTGCTGCTGATTGATCAGCTGATGGAGCATTAAAAAAAAGACCCAGCAGATTTTCCAGGTGCTTCTCTCGTCATACCAGGTCAGCCGTTTACCTTAAGGTTGGACATTTCGTTCTTCAGTCTCTCATTTTCGGCTTGTAAATCTCGAAGCCGGTGTTCAGCCTGGGTGAGCTGAGCCTCCAGTTCAGCTTCCAGTTCCCGACTCCCCTCCTGGAACTCCTGCAGCTCCTCCTGAGCATCTTGGCAACTGCATGATGCAATCACAGAGAAGGAGGAAAAAAAAACAAAAAAAAAAAAAACAACAACAGTCATTGTCACATATAACACTGATCAACACTAGCACCATTCAGTTTCACAGAGTCGCCCAGCAGCATTAGTTCTAGAAAACTATCTGGGTATTGTTCTGCATCAGAGCCGTGCTCAAGCATTTTCCTGTAGCTTTACCTCTAAATGGGCACAAAAACAGTCAAACATTAACAGCAAACAAACTTTACTTTTGGTTTAAACATAACAGATGCAACACTCTCAACTTAGCATTTTGAAGCTAACAATGTAAATGGATTGCTCCAAGGAGATAGCTGAACTGCCTGAAGCACAAACAAGGGTAGCTAAAACAGCAAAGATAAACCTATACCAGGAAACTAAGCTGCAACAGAAAAGCTAATTCTTTTATGAGCGTTTCCCTGATCAGATGTCCAGCTCTGCCCTGCTTTCAGCTGACCTTCACTGAGATAATGGTCTCAGAAAGCTGGAAACCATGAATCAGTCGCTGCGTGGTCGTTTCACACAAGCCTGTGATCAAGCTTTCCAACTCCCCAGCACCAGGTAGACAACTTCAGCTACACTCAATGTCCACATTTCCAGCATCTAAATCCATTACACAACATAGTGAGAGAAAAAAAAAAACACAACAAGGGGACTTATCCATTTCAAAGGTCATTTATTAACGTTTGAGGCTGCAGTAGCTGATGTGTTTGTGTTAAAGTCCGTCTGAGAAAAGGCATGCTTGATACACGTGCATCCAGCCTCAGTAAACCATACGTCTGTGGTTCAGTTTTTCCATGGCTGGACGTTTTCCCTGAATGCACCCAGTGCTGAAATTTCCCAGAAAACCACCAGGTCTTTAACCCCCTGAGTGCAACTTTAAACCTCGTCTGACTGCCTGAGCGGCTCCGCATAAGGGACCAAGTAGAGTTTCAAAAGATTTACGTAACACAGCTGCAGGACTAAAAAATGCCTGTGGCTTCTGTTAAAGAAGTCAAAGCTTCTGTCACTTCCTCTTGAGTCGGTCAGCAGTTGTTTTTTTTCTTTATTTAGGTCATTAATCTTGGTTTGTCATTTGCTGTTACTCAACTCAGTAGCTGTGCACAGAAACCTTCCACAGACAGAAACCCACAAACATTTCCCCCATGAGGTTAGATTTTATTTTGGGGGCTAATATAGGGGAAGTGCTGCCAGCTACAGAATAAGCAGAGTTATGCAGCTGCAAGATGAGCTGACTGAGCAAAAAAAGAAAAGAAAAAAATCTATAATTACAGACACAAAAGGCTGAGAACCAAACATGAAAACAAGCTGTTACTATATCAACACTATAAAAACAAAGTCATATGAGCAAGACCTACCTCTTTTTATACTTCAGGGCTTGAGTTTTCCAATAATCAACCTCCTCATCCTTTGATGAAAATTTAGGAATCATCTCTGTGTCCATATCAGGCAAACCTGAGAAGAAAAGACATTCTTAACACTTTCACTCTTTAAGTTCTTTGGCATGTTGAAGCTAACAAGAAGCATTCCCTTCTTATCTCAAAGGCACCAGTGAAATTGCAACATTCATACCTAATAAAATCTATTTGACGGCTAAGTCGGGTCATTCTGACACAACATGACCAGCATGAGGTCAGTTAGTTGTTAACGGCTGACGCATTAAAACATTATGTTATATTTAAAGATTCATAAAGCTTTTAGGGTGTACACTTTCCAGAAATAGCATTAGAACTAAGAGTAGTTAATGTTTAACAGTGTACAGCTGCAACTAACAGTTATTATGCTGATCAGATAATCTGTCCATTAGCTTTTTTTTTATAAAACAATTAATAAATGGATAGCAAAATCCAGCTGAAGCTATAACTTTACCACCTTAGGGGTTATGGATAGAACTTATGGACTGACAAAAAAAGGTTTTTCATCATAAATGCAAAGCATTGATACATGTTTTTCTTTTCTACCATTTCTGCATAATTAGTACTCGGAGTATAATACTCTTACAGCTTATACCATGTGTTAGAGATTTCTGTTAACAATTTAAATAGCCAAATTAGTGGATGTTAATTTTAAAATCAATCACGATTAACTGTTTCAGCCCTAAAGGTGACACAGGCTTTCCATAAAAGCCTAAATGCTTTTTCTGTTAAATCCCCTCTCCTGTTAGAAGAGTAACAAAATAACAGATGGTTAATTCTTTTTTCTGACGGCATATTAACTTTTTTATCGTTCACAAACAACACATATTAAAAAAGGTGTTTTCAGAACAAAATAAAGATTTTTTTTTTGCAACATCTCATGGATTTGTTTTCTGATATTCCCCCAAAAAATCTTTTTTTTTTTTTTTTTTTTTTTTTTTTTTTTTT